TGAGCTCAGGGTGACACATCTCAGAGGTGAAAGATGCTGTTCATGTTATGGGGGAGTCCATAATTCCCCATTAGCTTCAGTTTGTGTTTCATCTGTGTGAAAAGGAGACGATCGACCTCGGCTCCATCAGATGCTATTTCATGACTTTGCTTTAATTCTTCACCAGCCTTTTCTGCCCCAAATCTGCTGCAGACCAATGAAGGCTTTTGGATACTGTGGATGCTCCCACTGATTCCTCCTAACGCCTCCCTCGGCCCGTGCAACCCTGAGACCCTTTCTGGGGCTGCAGGTCAACTTGTACCCAAGTGACACAACCTGCCCCAGCCCATGCAGAGACCTGGACCCCAGAGCAGGGGTTGCTCTAATATTTGGCTGCACGGGTCAGTAGTGACCTTGTAGATAATCTGGGGTTCAGAGTCCTGGGACTTTTTTGGCCTCATACTTGATTGTTTAGCTGGGAGACACGTCTGTGGTATGCAACGGGAAAGTTATGAAACTGCTGATTATCTCCTGGAGAGCCAGGAGCTTCCCAAGGTCAGGATGTGAACTTATGTAAACCAAGGGCGTTAAAAGTCGGCTCTTTTTTGTTCTTTTTCATGTCAGATGCTGTTGGATCTCACCTGCTGCCTGTGGTCTGGGTGGGACAGGCGGATGCAGCTGGGGCGGGTGCAGCCCCCGCCCGGGGCCATCCTCCCCGCGCAGCCTCTCCCCAGCGCTGGGGCTCTGCCCGGCTGATCGCGGGCAAGTCCGTCCCCTCGACGGATCCCTGAGCACCGACCTGCTGCTCTGCGGAGGCAGCAAACCCACCACAGCACCCTCTGAGGCCGGGGGACAAGAAGGAACATGCATAATCCTGCAGGTAAACTCCCTGTGTGGGGTGAGGAACTCCAGGAGAGATGGTGTGGCAGGAGGGGACACTGCCTGATACCCCGGTCCTGGGTCCCCCCTTTCCCCATAGAGACGTGCAGGCTCTGTGGCTTGGCAGAGAGGAGCAGAGGGTGGGTTTGTTGGGGAGAGGAGAGGGGCTGAGCAGGGGAGATGGGTCTGCAGGAACATGGAGTAGAGGGAGGAGGATGCTCCCAGGAGAAGGAGATGGGGTGGGAAGGTGAACATAGTGGCAAGAGAGTTTTTGCTATGACTAATTTCTGATGGGTTGGGATGCTTGTTTTATAAATAATTTTTCTCCTTAATGGAGCACTGGAGTGATTTAGTTTTCTACTTCTTTTTTCTATCAGTAGGATCTGCAGAAAATGTATCAGCCGGTGTATATTTTCCTTGCTTTCTCCTGAAGTTCAGTCAGAGTTTAGCTCCCTGGTTCCTGCCACAGGGCAGCAGCTTCCCCACTCCTCTCCCTCTTCCTCCTTGTGCTCCCACTCCACCCCTTAGCCACTACCTGTCCCCAAGCCATCACTGCTGGCTTTGCTGTGGACTCTGGAACTACTCATGCTGAGGCTGAGCTCTGCTTATGACATCCTGCAGTGTTTAATGGCCACAACTTGGGTTTGGCCCACACTGCCACCCCACCCTTGTCCCCCCCACATGGGCCATGACATGCCTGTGCCCCTGTGCATTGCCCTTCCTGGGCTTGTGGGTGGTGGGTTTGGAGCCACTGAGCAGCCCCAGATGTGCAACAACCACACTCCCTCTTCCTTCTGCTACAGCTCCATCCATACAGTGGGTGTATCTCACAGCTGGGGTTAATTTGTTTGGGTCAAGCAGTAGCACTGGGTCTCCTAAGAGGCTGCAGTTCTGCATGCAGTGTTCTGGTGGGGCCAGGAAACAGCTCAGGCAGTGCATGGTGGTTTCCATAATGAGGATCTCCTGATAAAATGCCACAGCTGAGGTGTATTTACACACTACACAAAGTGGTGAGTGTTGTGATAAGCTGTTGTCAATGCCTGAGGTGCCTTGGTGAATATGATGGCTGGAACTGTTCCGGATGATTTTATCAGACTGCATTTCCAAGTGTTTAGCACTGACCAGCTCCTGCCAAAATGCCTGGCACTGGAGCACCGAGCTGCCTTGGCAGCAAAGTGTTCAGGTGGATCAGGTTCAGTGCTCTGCCCTGGCTGGGAAGGGGAGATCTTCTGGAAGTCATCACTGGGGCTGCAAAACAGATCTAGAGGCTGGAAGGTGAAATGAGGATAGCCCAAAAATGGGAACCAAGGATCTGGCCCTGCATCTTTGAATGTGGCATCTTTGCTTTGTTTTTGCCAAATCCAGACTCTCTTCTTGTGTGCTTGTCTCCGTGCCTCTTCCTGGGCAGCCCCTTGCAAATCATAAAGGGTCCTCCTCTTTTCCCCACCCAAAAAGTGCCATCTAAGAACAAGCCGCAGGGTTTAATTTCACTTCTGAAGCAGCAAGTCCCTCCATGGCACTGCCTGCCTGCTCAGGGGACACTGATGTCCCACACATACAGTTTAGTTTAGTACTTATTACAGTCCAACAGTTTTGCTGGGGTTGTGCAAACTATGTACTAAAACGAATCACTTTTCCTGGAGTAACATTTAAAAATAAAAAAAAGTAGTTACATAAAGTTTAGCTCACTTTAGTGCTCAGAGCCTTGGGCTGGGCAGCCAGCCCTGAGCTCTGCTCTGACTTGTCTGATGCTTGCATAAATGAAGGCAATTCTGACCTCTGCTGTTGGCCCAAGGCATCACCAGGCTGCAAAAAATGCAGCACTCCCTGAAAAGATTGTATAATCTTGGATGGAGAGCTGCTCTTGGCATGCCCTGCCATCCCCAGCAGCACCTCTTGGCACTCGCGGTTGGTGTTATAACACAGGTTACAAAACAGCGGGAGGTAAGTCTTGTTTGCAGTTGTGTGTCAGACAACCCTTCTCTGTTACTCATTCAGAAGGATAACATTAAGATTACTAAAATCCGACAGGGATTATAAACGTGTTTTTTTCCCCCTAAATTAACAAAAACCTCAGAGTGCTTGTCAGGGAGGATAAGCAAATCCTGACTTCCAGCATTCTCCAGTGGTGCAGCAGGAGCCTGTGGATACTCCCTCATGCAGTTGTGAAAGGAGCGTGTGTCCTCTTCATTCAACATGTAGCTGGACTGAGGGCAGCAACTAACATGGCTTGGGAAGGGGGTGGTTATTCTTGCACTTGCAATTAATTATAGAACTGCTGAAGGAGACATAAACTGCCCCTTTGCCATTTGATGACAAGAGATTGGGATGAGATGTAAATCATCATATCATAGAATAAAGAAAGGGTTGGTTTGGAAAGGATCTTAAAGTTCAACTAGATCCTACCCCGTCCTATGGGCAGAGACACCATCCACTATCCCAGGTTTCTCCAAGCCCTGTCCAACCTGACTTTGAACACTTCCAGAGATGGGCCAGCCACAGCTTCTCTGGGCAACCTGTGCCAGGGCCTCATCACTCTCTGAGTAGAATTTCTTCCTAATATCTAGTCTTAACCTACCTCTGCCAGTTTAAAGTCATTGCCCCTTGTTCTGTCACTACATGCCTTGTAAATAGTCTCTCTTCATCTTCCTTGAAGGCTCTCTTCAGGTACTGGGAGGCTGCAGATATAAAGCATGTCCTCATTTCACTCACTCCACTCAGTTCTCTGCAGTTTTTCTGTCGTAGGGAATGAAATCCTGCCAGGGGCAATCTGCTCCACCCCAGTTACACTCACAGCCTATTGCCCTGTGTCTCTGACATCTGGTCTTGCAGATGCTTTCATAACCCAGCACGTGCTCTCACACTTGAGGAGTGGGTGAGTTTCTATGAACTATGTCTCTCTCTCTGGGGCCATGTCTCCCTGTGGTCCATGGTGGCACTGCTGCCATAAATGGGTTTTCTGGGGTCTCAGAGCAAGTTTAGTGCCATGGGCAGCATTGTGTTGGCCTCAGGGCAGGGTGATCTACATCCTGGAGATGTTTCTGCAGTCTTTGAAACAGTGATATATTGTAGTGTTGTGCCTGTTTCTTTTTACCTGAATAATCAGCTTTTGGCAGGGTCTGGCTCATGAAAAGGTACTGGCAGTTCTGCCATATGGTGCTGGTGGATTCAAGCATAGTTAGGTTTTGTTCCCCAAGAAACAGTGAGTTCAGGATGGTGCATCACCGCTCAAACTGTTGTGGCAGCCTGAAGGCAGGAGAAGGGTTAGGAGGTTTTGTTCCTGCCTGATTGCTACATGAACCTGCTTGAAGTCATTAGTTGAAGACTACCTTTGATTTTGTGCCATCATGGATCTGGCATAATAGTTTTTATCATGGAATGGTTTGGGTTGGAAGGGACCTTAAAGATCCTCTAGTTCCAAGCTCCTGCCATGGGCAGGGACACTTTCCACTAGAGCAGTGTTTGAGTGTTTGTCCCTTTGGCTGTACTAGGACAGGTGTAATTTTATTTTAGCATGAGCATCACAGGTTGCTCTATGGACTCTGTGCACAGCAGCCTCCGTGGCACAGACACATACAGGGACACTTGTGTATCCCATTGACACACAGGTAGTGGAGATCCTCCTTTTCACAAAGCTAAATCCAGTGTCTGCATCTCCTAGCTTAGAGGATCTGCCTGGTTTGGCAAGAGCAGTTTGGGAAGAGCTCTATTTTCTCCAAGGACAAAGCTACCTAGAGGAGTGGGTTTTGTTTGGTGTTTGATGTTTGTCTCAGAGCTTCAAAAGCAAAATTCATATTTTTAAAATGTTCTTATCCTTGATCAGCTGTGCTGATCCCCCAAAAAGGGAGAATGCATGTGACAAAAATCTATTAGAAGTACACTATTTTTTCCATTTGAAAAGGTTTCCACTATTGTTTTCATAGTAATTCAAAAACCTGTATTTTCTATTAAAAAAAAAGTGCGCTTGTTTTTTTGTACTCCAAATTCCTCTTCCGCTGATTTGAGCAGTCCCAAAATCATTATTCTTCCTTTTATTTTCCATTTCAGAAACCCCTGCTGGACACATTGCTGAGAACCTTCTCAAAGCCAAAGAAATAGCTCTCAACGACTCCCGTGTACCTGAGCAGCTCAGGAATTACATACAAAAAGCTCTTGATGTTGCTCTTGGACTAGACCCTTACCTGGATGCAATGGCAACTTCTAAGAGGTACCAACTCTCCTTTGTAACCTTGCACTTTTGTCTGAGAGTGTGTGCATCTGTTCTCAGATTTTCTGTCCAGAACATGCCATAAACATGGGAGGAAGAAGAATGAGAGTTCTAACTGCACCCAAATATATAGCAAAGCGTGCATGGATGTGTGTGTCTGTGTGCACCTACAGCCTAGAGGAGAGGAGGTGAGAATAAGAAGTCCTGACTCTAAATTTTGGGAGATATTCTCCCAGCTGACTGTTAACTATGGCAATGACTTTGTTTGACCATATCCTGGGGAACACCAGCACACCAGCTTCCTGCTGGAAGGCTGAAAGAGCGAGCCCCTCAATCAAATTGGTGCTGGGATAAATAAAGAATAATGAAAACCTGCACCTCTGGATCCGCCCTCTAATAACAGCCTTTATATGCAGCTTTTATCTCCAAGCACTCAACAAACATTAATTAATCTGCTAACTAAATTACTCTAGTAACTAAACTAATTAATTAAACTAATTTAAGGTATCATTAATTCAGAAGTCCAACTGATACCCTCATTATTCTTTTCTGAGCTACAGTATATTACCTAGCCATGTGGGGTCTGCTAAACAATTCCCATTTATCAGTGCACGTTTTGATATGTGGAAAAAGCCAGTTCTGTCTAAAATTGACAATGTGTAAACTGTTCCAGGCTGTGGATTATGGGAAAGCTGAGTGTTCGTTCTGTTGCTGAAATAATAGCTGATAGTTGTTTGACTTACACTTGCTGTAGGATAATAGCTATACATTATCTTATTAAAGTTGTTAAAGCATTTGTGAGGGGCAGAAAAGAGGTTATATGAAATGTTCTACTCTTTAAGTCTTGGATTATCTGAGTGTGGCTGACACGGGTTATGAATTCTTTCTCATTTTACTGAGGAGTAGGGAGGGGGAAGCTGGAGGAAAAAAAAAAAGCTGAAATGTCTCTAAATTCTGGCCTGCAGAATAATCACCATCCATTTCTGATGGTTGCTTTCTTTAAATAGGGTAATCAAACCTGTCTGGAGGCTATGGACTTCTTCCAGTCGTCTGTTGCCTTCCCTGTGTAATAGGTAGCATCTCACTTCATCCAGATACAATGTCAGAGGCCTGGCTTCTGTAAAATAGCATCTGGAGACACCCTGTTTTCTCAGTAGTTTGTGTGGAAAACCATGTTTTTCCCATCTTACAAAACAATTTAGATTTTACATCTTTTACCCTATTCTGCAATGAAACCTCTTTTTTTTGGCTGAAACAAAAATAATCATTGTAGAACTCAACAAAACCTGGCCAGGGTAACTAGGGTAATTCACTCCAAACCAGCAGACTGATAGAGACCTGTCTAGGACTGGTTGGAAATGGGAAGAATCTGAGGTTGAACAGTGGGGAATGCTTTCCTTTGGTCCCATAGCCCCTTCTTCCCAAGTGCCTATGGCTGGGGTGACTGCCAGCATTGAGATGGGCTTATTGCCAAGCCAGGTCCTCTTAGGACTGGAATTTAGGATATTTGTAATGCTTCTGGGCTAATTTTCATGGCCATGCACAGCTAGAGCTTTTCCAGACATTCTCTTTTAGTTGCTGCTTTTTATGTAGGACTCTCAGATTTCAGTTGTTACCGTAATGTTGAAATTTGTTTCTTTTTCCAGAAAAACTTCACCTGATCACGTCCCAGGGGACGCTGAAGGAGCTGGAAGCGGAGTTAGGCTGCAGGAAGCACGTACCTCTGACTCACTGAATGGCAAGTTGGTCAACTGAGAGGATAAAATTGCACCAGATTGGTGTAAAGGTTATCACTGACATTGAAGCTATAATTCTTTACTTTGTCTAGAGTGAGGAGAGGTTGAATGCCATGCAAATGCTCAGAAAATATGGGAAATTGCTAAAAAATAAAGATATGAACCTCCTGTAGGCTTTGATCTTCCTTTGGCATGAGTTTTCCCTGTCTCATTCCTCCTTGCCCTTGTACTCACGCACACGTGTCCACGCACACGCTTGTGAGTGCTTTAATTCACAGTGCCAGCCCCATCTCTTAGTGAGCAGCAAAAAGATCGTTACTCTTGTTGGAAGGGAAAGGAAGGGAAAAACCATTTTGGTTGGGTTTGGAGGTGTCTGTTAGGAGTTTATGTGCTTTTTGTGGTGAAGGTGGCCTGTGGCCAAGCACTTGTACCTTTACAAGTAGCAATACCCAGGCTTGTATCCCCATATAAAGCCTATTACACTGAATCTCTTCCCAGATTCATTCTTCCCAGATGTTCCTATCTTTGGACTAATATATCATCCCAGTGAAGTACTCTTATAATGTATTACACTAATACATTGTTCGAAGGACACCACTGATGATAAATTTCTTAAATGATGGTGCTGTCTGGGGATAATGACTCTAAGAGCAAATGCAAGGTAATGTAGTGATTTTTTTTTTTTTTAACTGGATTCCAGAAAGAATATGGAGCCATCTCAAAGCCATTTTCATATGGGGGGAATGTTAAAATATGCAATATTTCAAGCACTATTTAACAAGCACTTGAACAATAGCAGCATTAATGATAAAGGTTCTACATTTAAAACCAGTCCCTTTATTCTGTTGTCTTTTAGCTGCATTTTAGATGAAATTTTGTCAGATTCTGTTGTTAAACCCTTACTTGGGAGTGTTTTAAGATTAGGGTTGGTTTTTTTTTCATTTTTAATGATCACTTAAAAGGCACATCTAATTTTCACTGCTAACAGGGTACCCTCTTTCCTATGGTTTTACTTTTAATTTTTCTTTCTTGTCTTTCCACAGGCCAAATTTTTAGGATGTTTGTTCATATGATCAGAGCCAGGAAGATTTTATTAATTGGCAAGCTTAAAGGTTACAGTATCCTTGCTATTGCAGAGGAATTGCCAGACGATGGCAAAATTTTTGCATGTGCAGAAGCGCCTTATCTGGGAGTGAACAGCCAGGAAGCATTTGATTATTCTTCAGATGGCAAAAAGATAAGCATGCGAGTGGGACCAGTGGCAGACACCTTGGAGGTAAAGTCAGTTTGGAAGGGGAGTTTGGGAGCTCCTGCGCAGGGCACGTTAAATCATTTCGGGTAGGTTCTATTTCCTGCATGCAAAAAACTGGATGGTGGCCCTGGTTTGCTTGCAACTATGTGAACACGTGGTTGCACTGAGGTTATTTCTTATTCACAGTGTATGATGGAACAGCTCTATCATACAGGATAGCTGTTTTTTTTCTTTTTAACTAAAATCCTGCAGCTTTTTGATCAGAGGAATCACAAGCTCTCAATGTAGGTCGATAGGCTTGAATGGCAGTTTTACTTCATGTCGGTTGTTTCGGATCTCTAATTCCAAATGTAACAAACAGGAAGAGTGTGTCTGTACCCTGCTGAGCCAGCTCTTGAGAAAGACAGCTTGCTCCCAATGTTCACAAGAATCAGGAAAGTCTTGGAGAAGTTTCTAATTCAGCCACAACTTCTCATTATTTTCCCCCACTGCAAGCTCTGTGGGAAATTAAACCCCAATTTCTCGCTTCCAGAGCAATGTGATGAGCTTAACACAAAATAAGGCATTAGCTGTATTTGTTTCATTCTGACTAGTGACTTTGTCCCAAGAAAGAGAAAAGCTTATGATTGCCAGCAACTCACATTTAATTCCCATTTGATTCTATTTTCAATCTGGTTGTGTCAGTGTGAGCTTGATTGTAACTTTACTTGCATTAACAGGTACCATATTTATTTCTAAAATGAAATGGCCAGGAGCTTTCTGACCTTTGGCTTTCATGACCTCCAAGTTTGATAAGAAAGAAACAAAGAGCTTTGCCAAGTATATGAATAACGAAATGTTACAGATCACCTGCAATGTGCAGCATTTAAAATCCCAGCTCCCTGCAGTGAGTGTGAAATTAATTGAATTGCTGTTGCTCTCTAGTGCCCATTCTGTGCAACTGACTTACTGTGACTGAATTAAAATATCTAGAGGCAGGCAGAATACATGCTGTGTAGAGATTAAAGAAGGGAGCAAAGACATGAAAATTAAATCCTTAAAACAGAATGTTGCAATTGATTTTATATCCTCCAATTGCAACATGAAGGCACATCCTGACCCTGGTTCTGCAGGTGCTCAGGACTTCAAATACCTCTCAGAGCTCTTGGGAACAGAGATTCTTGTGTTTGGCAGGAGAGAGACCCAACATGGGGACACCTCTCTGTGCAGGATTTCTGCACTGGGCTCTGAACTTTTTTTGCTCAGTGTGGCAGATGTTTTGTCATCATTTGGTAGCAGGACAATGAGGATTGTCCTACAGGTCAAATCCACAATGGCTGTAAATGCTGAAGCAATGAATGTGGTACCCTCTCTGGTGCCTTGGCATTCTGGGCTTCTTGAGGTTTGCCTGGTTGGAGTTGGGAACACGCAGGAACACAGCCGGATGTGCAGAAGAAGCCCAGGCTGTGAACAGTGTGCTGCCTTTTCCCTCCCAGATGGCTGCTTTAGGTTAGAGATGCAGCAGGCTTCTTCTCCTGCCCCACGGACATGCTGAAAGGCAGGAGGACAAGGCAGTCATAGGCGGGAGGTGGGTGAGGGATGGCACCTCTCACAGCTCAGCTTCATGGAGGAGTTGGAGAACAACATTTCTCTCCCCCATGGTCTGCAGGGAGGCTGGTCTAGAGCAGAGCTGGCTAGTGTTTGTTGAAGAGCACCATGAGAGTCTGAAGAGCTGGAACAAGCTCTGGCAAGGATTGTCTTTGTTGCCTATGGTGTCTGCAGCCCGAGATTTCATTCTTGTCCCTTTGGAGAAATTTGAGAGCAGAGGTGGTCACCCACCACTTGCTCTTTGGAGGTGTCTGATGCAGTTTTCTTGCTGTGGTGATGATGGCTGAGTTTTGCTTCCAATCTGAGTGCAACAGGGCAGGATCTCTGCTTATCTGCTGCTCCTCAATTTTTCACGGTGTTAAGGCAGCACATCAGTCCATAACAGCACCTTGACCAGGCTCTCTGAAGATGAAGAACATCTCTCTTGATGCTCCTTTGTCTTATCCCACAGCAGTGGAGGAGTCAGCCAGTTCCCCTGCCTCCTGTCCCAAATCACAGCCAGCTGCAAAATATCTGAGATTTTGACCAGTCAAGGGATGCTAAGTATCAGACAGGAGCCACAGAGCTCAAGTAGACAGTGGGGTTCTTTTGGCACCTGAGAGCACAATGATTAAAACCCACCTTTCCCACATATGAGGGATAGACACTGCCGAGCTAAGTGAGGTCTCCACCAAAGCATGTGTCTCATACACGATGGCACAAGCCTCTGTGCCCGATGGCCTCAATAATTTCTACGTAATATTTTGAAATGTGGACTGAGGGGAAATTTTCCTTGGGTTCAGTCTCAGGTACTGGTGCTCTTAGTGGGAATTAGCTACCCTTTCAGTGTGTGCTGGGCCAGCATTTAAAAACATTTCCCAACAAGGTCCTTAAGTCTAAACTCTGTTGTGCTATGCCTGGATAATCTGCCTTGCCATGCATCCGCAGCCAGCAAGAGCCTGATCCTGCACAAAGAACTTCCTTCAATCCCCAGTGGATTTTCCTTGAACAATGGCCGCAGGATTGAGTCCGGACAGAATGCAAACTACCAGGAAATTATTCCCATCCATGATTTTGATCCTTCCATTTTAAATTGAAAATGTACCACAAAAAATAACACCGTGTTTGCAGCCGATTCTGCTGATTGCAGGGCGTTGTGTAAGCATGTCGGGGTTTGCTTTCTTCTTTTTTCCCTCCTTTTAGCAGACAGAATAGGTGAAGAGGTTGAGCTGCAGATCTCATTTCTCCTGTTTTGCTGCTTGTGAAGTCTGCCAACAGAATCCACCTTGACAAAGTCAAGGACTCTGCGTTTAATGTTGAACTGAGTGAATAAATTATGCATGAAATTGTGTCGGAGTCTCTAGTGTGCTCTAGAATTGCTCCTTTTGATATGAAAGGTTAATTCAGAAAGGAGTCCAAAATAGCTGGAAATTGTGGGGATAAGTGGATAGTATTCACTGTTGTGAGCTGTTATTACTAGAAATTGCATTCCCTCTCTGGCTTCCCTAGAGATTTCGCCTTGCCGGTGAATATAAACTGTACTCAATAGAATAGCATTTAGGAGTAACAAGAGTGTATGTCCACATACAGTAAAATATTCTAATGGTGTTTTAAAAGGAAGCTGTACTTTTTCATGTATTCTGTGTGCCCTAAGGATGGATTGCTATTACATTTAGGTCAAGAACAAGACATAGGGAAGGTAATAAGTTTTGAGTACATCTTTATTACAAATATGCTGACTGTATGATCCATATCAAAGGAACTGGGCAGTCATTTTTTTCCTGATTGAGTTTGTATGTGCCTTATGTTGTCTCTGAGAAGGACTCCAATCAAGTTTTCTCTGAGCTTTGGCAGAAGATTCATTCATGTTTTTATTCAGGATGTCCTCTCCCTGGTCTTTTGCTGTATCCATCAGCAGTGCTGCTGTGCCCTTTTTCATGGTCTCTTTTGGTGTATCTCCTCTATGGAATGCAGTGTTACTCTTTTTTTAATCCAAAAGGAAGTTAATGACTCACTGTAATCAAAAGCATTAATTTTAGCCAAGTTTGCTCTGAATTAAAACTCTTATTGCCATCTGTTACCATCTACGATGACTCTATAGCAAGGAGCAGGGATTGCACTGTAAACACTCAGGAAATTAGTTTCAGCAGGATATTTTGCAGGCAGATTATTTCCTTCTGGATCTCATCTTTCCTCGCAGTTGGAGTCATCTGGGTTCTGCCTCTCTCCAAGCAAAGGACAATGGAATCTCCAGCTTGCTGTGAGGTCCCAGGCAGGGCCTGGCCCAGACTGTGCTGGGAGGGCAAGGGTTGTCAATCCATCATCTTAAACCCCCTCATCCATATGGGACAGCAGGGAGTTGTCCTTTTCATCACTGCACCCATCTTTCCAGTGCCTGGCTCTGCAGTCAGAGCTACCAGTAGAGCAGTTTTTTACCTTTCTGGCTGTCTGGGTTCAGCAGCAGGTGCTGCCAGTGAGGAAACCTTCTCCAGTGTGGGGCCCTGGCCACAGTTACCACCTGTCTGAGTGATCCCTGCTCTGCTAGTCAAGGAGCTCCAGGAAACAGAGGACTTTCCCCTTCCTGTGGCTGTTTCCCTCCCGCTCTAGAGGCAAAGCTGGTTCAAGGACTTTCATGGATTCCTCTTAGAGTCCTGAAACTGTTTCCAGCTAAATATGGAAAACTCAGCAGCAATTTTGAAACTGTGGAAACAAGAAGCTCAAGTGATGGCAGGTCCCAGCACAAACTCAGGCAGTTCCTTACAGGTGTCAGATACTGGGTATTTAGAAGAAATGAAAGGTGCCCAAGTGACCCTCGTGGCTGGTCATTCAGGACTTGATGAACTGGCAGAAGAGAAATGCCTTAGAAACCGTGGCCTTGCACACCCAGGCAGGGCAAGGACAAGGCAGGCATGTGCTGGATACATATCCAACCCAGGCACCCTCGGGGGATGGAAGCTGTGGAGTTAAAAGGTGGTTTATCTGTATCAGAAGACAGATAAGAAGGAGATAAGCTGTCAGCAGGTAGGCAGTATGGAAGGAGGGTTGATACGAGAAGTCCAGCTAATATCCAAAATGCTACACAACTCCATATGGACCTAATGAAGCCAATGCATAAAAGTGAGATTCTTTTTCATTAGGGAGCCATACCACGGAGCAGTAGTAACATATGTTCAGCAATGGTCACATCTGCTTCTGAATGTCTGCCCCCCACCTCCTCCACCCAGGAAGGTTACAAGTCAGAAAGTAGTGATAAGTCACAATAATTACTCGAGTTTGGCTTTGGCTCTTCTCCCTGGGGAATGAGACCTCTAATCTCTCTTCCTAATGGGCTCCTTGACCCAGCTTTCATCTTCTGACCCTTCCTGAAGCATCTACATTGGACAGACTGACTGAGGTGCAACCTGATAGAAGATGGTCTTCCACAGTAGCAAAAATGTTCCTGCTGCTTTCCCCCAATATGGCTTAAGAGGGAACCAGGGCAAAATTTTCTTACTGGTAGTGAAATGAAAAGATGAATCCCAGGAAACCAGATGTCCCAGTTTCTGCTACATTTATTATGAACCAGCATATATTTGGCCTTAAGGTCTTCTTTTATTATAGTATAGCATCAAAAGGTGTCCTAAATGTGGACTCATGAATGCTTTTGGCAGAGTTTCTCTGCTGTTAAGTATCTGCAGTTAAATGTGACTATCCAAGCTTAATTCCCTCACCACTAACCAGCTCACAATGACACCAGTTTGCACAATAAAGGAACTCAGAGCTTCGAAGATCCACTTCCTGCTATTTTCTTGTCTGAACCACACACTCCCCACCCAAGAAAGGCTCCTGAAATCTGTGTTTGGGAACCATCAACCTCACTCCCCAAAACAAACCAGTCTTCAAATTCTGTTGCCATTTGTTATTGATGCTTCTGCTGGTACCTCTGAGGGGATCACTCACCACTCGTTGTGCACAATGTCTCCAAACACAAAAGGGAAATCTGGATGCAAAAAGTACCGTTAAAAGTTGTGATAGAAACAGTGAGTTCTGGAAAACATAATTGTTTCTCTTTTCACTTGAAATGCCAAGACTTGAAAGCATTTCTGCTTGCTGAGATAGGTGGATGAGCTGTTGTTTCATTGCAACGCACACAGATGCAGTTAAATAGTCCCAGATGGAATCTGAAATATTCCATAGCAGCTTCTTGGGCAGCAAGTGCATTAACTGCCACAGGAGAAGGCTGTAAAGGCTCCCATCTGGTCATCCATCAACACTTTTATACATTATCATCAGCAGCCTGCTTGGAGGGAAGGTGTGCCACATTTCTGAAAATCCAATTAGATGATAGCAGTCAGTTCTCTTTTATCCTCTCTGTTGCTGAGCCATCCAAAGCATTTTTTTAGATTAAAGAAACATCATTTTCCTTCATAGGGTCTCTGCTGCTTTATCTCTATTGTGACCTGTTCTTTTATGTGCTTTATAATTCTATTATTAATTAGGATTTCAACCCTTTTCCTGCTACTGAAGTGGGACTCACTAGTTTGCAATTCCCAGATCTGCCTTATGCCTCTTTTTTCACTGGAGTGATATAATTGCCACTCTTCAATTTGTTGATAGTTACTCATTTGAGAAGAGATAAGTTACTGTGGCCCATCAGTGGCAGGGTTTGATGCCAGTTCTCTCCCTTACCCTGCTGGATCAACTTGCTTTGACTTGAGGTATGCAGATGTTTCTGTTGTGACTCTCAACACCTCAAGCTGGGATGAGACATCCTCTTTTATATCCTGATTTTCTTTGAGAAGTTCAGGGATTTGTTGCTGTGGAATTGTTTGCAAAGCATGGGAAAACTCCCAAGATCTCCAGAAGTAATTCTAGCAGTGTTACTTTAAAAGAAAAAATTTCCCTCTGGTTTGGGCTTTATATAAAGGATATTTTAATGGCAAGACTTTAACTTTCGGGTAAATAATTAGTGTTTTCTCCAACATAATTTTTTTTCCAGGCATTACATGCTGAGGATGAGCACTTTGATATAGTCTTTATTGATGCTGATCAAAGGAATGCTGTTCACTACTACAGCTTTGTCATGGATAACCACTTGCTGAGAATGGATGCAGTGATCTGTGTAGAGAATACACTCATGAAAGGACAAGTCTACCTGGAGAATGTATCAGATGAAAATGTACTAGCTGTCAGAAAATTAAATTCAGTGATTAATTCAGATCCTCGTGTTGAGCAGGTTAGTGCAATGCCATTGGTTAAGGTGCCCGTGGTGCTGTATCTATGGATTTTGCAAAGCACTCTTCAAAATGTTTCTTTTGTTGGTGCCATTATCCAGAGGACCTAAAATGAACTCAGATTTTATTGTCATTCACCTCACTTGAGCTCTAGGTATGAGTTTCTATATTCAGGGACAGTCCCTACTCTGTCTACATCTTACAGAGTGTTAAAGGCAAGATAAAAGGGGAGCACTTAAGAGTGAATAATCAGCTCTACAGCACAACCAAGGAACCGCCGCTCTGCTTTAAAGGCTCTGGGGGCTGTAGGGCACCACCAGCACAACAGGAGTCAACAAAGTCCTACTCCAGCAGGAAAGAAAAAAAAAAGAAGTAATAGGATGCACAAACAATATACCGTGGTTTCAGAGGCACTATTAAACACATATCCTTCAGGGCTTTAAAAGCAGGTGCAAGTGGTGCTACCCCGGTACAGCAGCCACCAGCTCACCCTCATTCCATGGCTGCACTGGGATGGCTGGATCTCTGTCTGCCCTCCTGCACTGTAAGGTTGGGCTCGTGGTGGGACAGGGCAGGTCTGCCACCTCCCACACTCGCCCCTGCCACAGCTCTCCATGGCACAGAGGTGTGCAGCTCGTGCCCAAAGTGTTTTGGTGTCTCATAGGCTAAAGGTCTTTCTCTACCTGCAGGTCAGACACCTCTAAAGGTACCTCCTGTGGTTCTGTATTTATTCTATCATTGACACAACTAATAGACAGTGTTCCAGAAGCATCAGCTTTTGTTTGTAGATGAGGGAAAGATTAATCAGAGTTTTCCATGTCCTGAATCTCCCTGTTAGCCACTGAATGCATGTAAATAGCACGTGGATTCCATATCTGATTTTCTAACACTGTGATAGTGGTGTTGAATTTGCAAAACTGAGTGCAGGTTTCCTCATGATGATGCACGTCCTGCACCCTCATCTGTGGGTGAAGGACAGATGTTCTATCAAATGCTGAAGAACACCGAAGCATTGCTCTTGTGGTTTACTGTAATACTGGACTGTCCTCATGACAACCTTATCCAGGCAGTGGAAATCCAGCAACCTCAGCAGCTGGTACTGATTTAGCAACTAAAGAACTAAAATTGTGATTTCTTTTTCCTGTCATTTGTGGAGGCAATGAGTTTGAAAGAGGCACGTGAGCAAATAGAAATGCCTGACATATTTGTGTTGGAAGGAAGTTCACGTAAGAATAGGAATAGGAGAAGAGCTATTATGACCTGAGGACTATCCTTCACATCAGTGGAATCTGAGTGACAGAAAGCCAAGTACAAAGCAGTTGAGAATTGTGTGTGCATTATTTTGCAGGTAATTTTACCTGTGCAGAGTGGACTGAGCATTATTCGAAGGATCCCTGTACCTCCAGATGCAGTGATTGAATCCAAGGTGGGCATTTCCTCTCTGTGAGTACTTCTGGGAAACTTTTGACTCTGCTGAGGACAGGGACAATATAATTTTCAGGGATTTGTTGGCAAGAACCCAAACACATAGTGCTGTTCATCATGGACTTACCAGCTTAGGGCTTGGCATTTTTTAGCCTCACTTGTCCAGGTTACACTAAATGCTGATTCCTTGCAAAGTCTTTTGGATCAGCTGGTCCTGTGATGAATCTCCAAAGTGGCTGGCACGCTGCTCACTGGGTGTCTGTGCCTGTTGCTCTCCCATCCTTCCCATGCAGGGGAGTGTGGGCAGATGGAGCTGGGGCCCAGCTGTAATGAACCCTAATATTTCTGAAGTAGCTCTTTTTTCACCCAAAGGCAGCACATGATGCCCTCTTATGCTCTCTGAGCTGAATATTTTCATGGCCTTAGATTTTGCTTGTCCTATGGAAAAAACAGGGATTTTATCTTTCTCCATTTTATGTAGTGGGCATCATCCAACTGTAATGAAATTCCCATCTGGAATCATAATGGCCTAGCTCAGTAAATGCAGACTCAAACATCCTGATTGTTTTGCAGTTTCTGAGTGCTCCCAAAGTTACACCCACTGGTAATTCCTGGCATTTCAAACTCAGTATTTTAAACATCTTGTATTTTCCATTTTGATTCCAGTTAGGGGGAAATGATGTATGGCAGCTGATCAGATGACAGCTTGGTTTAAGTTATTGGCTGATAATCTTTATTTGTGCACCAGCCTTGTGAAGATATTTTGATTGCACTCTGCTTGAGCAAAATCCTGACTTTGGAATCTTGCTCTGTGTCTTCCTGGAGCCAGCTGAGCCTGAGGCAGAACTGGGCCCTGGGGGGAAAACAGCTGGAAGACTTAATCAGTCAACTTCTAAGCAATGTACCTGATCCATCTCCCTGGGAAGCCAGGCTGGGAAATGCCATACCCTACCGTCATGTAAGTGGAGTGGTCAGAACATCTCCTCAAAGCACAGCCCTTCTGCTCCATTGTCTGGCATTTAATGCTCCTTTTGAGACTAATATTGTCTTGAATTAGTCATATGTTTTGTATTAGTTAATGGACAAGAAGACATGGATCCCTGTTCACGCTCCTGCCTTGTTCTCACAGGCGAAGTCCTTCACAGCTCTCACTTAGTGAGCTCTGCCCCTTGTTGTGCAATGTATCTATGCTTTGTTTCAGAAAGAAGTGGTGAGGGATGACGTCTTCTGGGGCCATAACAGGCGGCGCATCCTGGACCGGCTGCGTTTGGATGGCAAGGTGGCCTATGTCACTGGCGGGGGGCAGGGCATTGGCAGAGCCTTTGCTCATGCCCTGGGGGAAGCTGGTGCCAAAGTGGCCGTTGTGGATCTGGTCCTTGCCAAGGCAGAGGCGGTGGTGTGTGAGCTCAGCCTCAAAGGTAAGCGTGGGACTGACCTGTCGTGAGCACTTTAACGAGCAGCTTTCCTTCTTCAAACCTGACCTGTTCTCTGCAGTGGAATTACCTTCCATCCAGCTCTGATGGGGAATAGGTTAGAGCCGAAAATGTTCATGCCATGGTCATGAAGCTTCTCCTGCCCTGGCGGTGTCATCGCAGCAGTCATCAGTATGACACCGTCTGCAAGAGTTATTTATTAATATCAACTTAACTAGAGGCAAAGTGACCCAAATAAAATTCCTTGCCAAGGGTGCCCAAAGGAAACACAGCAGTGAGCCATGACTGACAGGGACAGAGAAGGGTCACCCCTTGCGGGTGAGATCTGTATAACCAGCATTGAACAAATAGAGATGGTGTTTCTCAGAGTAAATCATGCAGCACCTCAGGCTTCACTAAGGACGAATGACAGACATGGGCTACAAACTCACATACCCCTTCCCTGGCACCTCTTCCATACCTAATGTCTGGACCACGAGCCAAAACACCAAAACAAGGTAGATGTGTTGTCAGTCTGAATCTCTCATTGAACCCTCAAATTGAAGCAAAGTAATTTTTGAAACCCTCTTTCAAACATACTTGCAAGGTCAGATATAGGAACAAAATATTAATAGATGTAATAACTAAAATCCCCAAGAAGAGGTAGCATCCTCTACAAGCCACTTCTGTTGTAAAAACAGAAAATGTAACTTAAAATTGAATTTCCCCCTATAATCGTGATAAACTGCAATTATAAAGGGGAAAAAGAAAACTGGAAATATAATTTTAATGATAAAAGAAAGGAAGTATTACTCATTTTATAATTTCTTTTGTGAGGTTATACCTGAGCCTTCTTCAAAGTTCAGTACTTCGTTGTCTCTAAATGTAGAGCTTTACCCAGGAAATTTTCATATTCCCATTTTGGATAAAGTCAGCAGTATTCATTTCCATTCTGACTTCCAAAAGGGATTGGGCCATTAGAAACCATATTCTCCAGCAAAACCAGCCCCTGCAGATGCATTTGTATCACCCAGTCTCAGGAAGGGCGAGGAATGGTACATTTCTGGTTTTGATACCGTCCTGAGCCTCCCCAGAGAACTTCTAAAACAAAATGTCCCTGTCTGCACGATCCCAGCTCTGGTAAGCAGGAGACACTTTACGCTGAGCATCAGTGCAATGGTTAAAGCTCTGATCTCAAATAATGAGCTAGAATAGAAAGTGTTCAGTTCCTATTACAAATTCTTGAGTCATCCAGTCCCTCCCCTCCTGAAGCTTGTCATTCCCTTATGCACCAAAGCCATATGGCCTTGGCATAAAGTAGCTTTGCCCTACACGTTAACTTGCCTTTTCCCCGTGAGATCCTGCATATCAAGCAGAGCTATTCAGATAGAAATGGGCTACTTGACAGAGCCATGAGACTTTGGATGCCAACAGCCTATTGGAAAACTAACTTAACTTATCTCCAGGGCATTTTTCAGTAGGAGTTTGATCATCCATCCTTCAATGGCTGCCCTACATCTCTGCTCCTTCAACTGTGGGTTGCAAGCCCAGAGGAGGTGGGGGGTGTTCCAAAATGCAGTCGGAGAGGTCATGAGGCATAGCAAATATTATTGCAGTCTAAAGTAAAGAAAATCTCGCTTCTCACTCTTTACACATCTTTATCCTTTGAGGTCAAATACTATCTATCAACTTGACCAGTGCAGCTGGTCAGGGCACATCTATTCCATCTCATGACGGTTTTTGAGGTTTCAAATTTATTGTTGTTCCCTGTTGGAACAAAACCCAAACTTTGTAAGGCTTTTGTGAAAGGGAATTATAACCAAATGCCCGTTTTTGGAAAGGATCTGAAAAGGTCAGGTTTTCAATCTCTTTCTCTCCAGAGGTAACTAGAGAGTCTAGCCTGGACCTCAGAAGCTTTCCCTTTAAAACTTTTGTTGAAATCGATATATTTCCATGAAACATTTTGGCTTCAAAGAAGTAACATGCTCTGTTGGAAATAAATTTTGACAAAAAGGTTCAGCTAGCTTTACTCTGAAAATATTCACATGAGTAAATTGAAGAAATCATAATATTAATACATATTTTCCCCGCTATAATAAGGACAAAGGAGCTGTGACTTTTTTTTTTTTTCCCTTCTAGGGTTGTAGAAATCTCTAAATCAAAGTTGGAAATGCAGTGCCCCAAGTCATTCCCATACTGATACTTTTTCAAAACATTTTGCTTAAATTGCTTAGAGCTGTTCTGCTTCTTATACCAAGGAGTCCTTTACTGCCTTTTGGGATGGTGCCATCATTTCATGATGAGTTTTAAACTTCAGAATCTCTGTGATCTCAGTTTTAGCTTTGTTAGACAGCTCGGGTGTATGTCCCTTGGCTACAGGGGTCTTTGTTTAGAGATCCTGTGTGAATACCTTTTTCAACAGTTGCTAATGGAATCTGACAGAAGAACCAAAAATGATGAAACATAACCAAAAAATCCTAAGGGTTATCTTCCACAACACACACCTCTGTCTTCAGGGGGAATCGCTGCCTCTACCCTAAGGGAAGAATTAGTCTGATGGGATTTTTAAAATGTGCATTTTCACTGTAAACTATGCAAATGCCTTGTGCAATGTCACTCCTGATCTTCCTGTCTATATGCAACGTGTTGCTTCCATTTACACCAAGAGACCAGAGATGAGTTCTGTGGCAGGGGGACGTGTACATGTCCCCTGCAGAAGGGCACCTTGGTGGATTTGGCATATTGGTGTCTCTCCACCACAGAGCAACTGCGCTCCACTCCTGCCCCTCTCATCACAAAACTGCCTCCACAAGCATCACAAAACTAGACTGAGGACCGTGGAGAGGCACTGGCTCTGTCATGCATGCAGCAACACAGTCGTATGTTCTGTTTCTTATCTCTGGCTGTGTCTATAGAGTTGAAGCTATTTTTCCACAGTTTATTTATTATTTTTAATAGGTTGTTTGGGGAGACAGTGGAGAGACAGAAAATGGTTTTTTTCCCTCTCTCTCTGAGTGCAGGGACATCAGCTGAATTAATTAAGGTCAAATGTGGGACTCAGGTTTGGAGTGAGTGTGTCTTCACTGCTTCTTTGCCAGACACTCACGCGTGGCACCTTTTGTCTTGTTTTTATGAACTATCTTATAAGATGAAGCCATAAATGGGGTGAGAGTTGGAGGGCAGGTGAAGAGTCTCTCTGTTACCATTAGTAACACGCTTGCACCCGTTTTGTCTGTAAATTGAGAAAGAAAGATTGCAGCAACTCCCTGTGCGTTACACGTCTAGATAACAATTAGGAGGAGCAACGGGGGCTGTCTGGCTATTCTTATTCTTTCAGAGTATTTAGCATAAAACCTGCGATAAAATAAGAGGTCTTGTTTTGTGGCAGAACATGCATTCATTTTTTAGTTGGCTGTATTATTTCTCTGCCATGGAAATCAAGAGGGCTGTGTCATCACTGAAGGGGACAGGAGCTCCCATGGCCTGGTTTGGGGAGCACCCCAGAGCAGCATCACCTCAGGAACTGCACTCTGGCAGGCTCCTGAAGGCATTGGAGGTGAGGAGGAGCTTTTCCATCCAAAAGTCTCTTTCCTGACATTTTCTTCAAACACCACTGGGCAATTACTGCTTTGCCTTGCTTTCGTGGAACCCTCCCTCTCAAGCTTCATTTTGGGGAGTCTTCTATTCTCCTAGAATAGGCTTAAGACTTCTTTTAAATGCTTTATCAGAATGATCTGGAAGAGGAACGAATGGGGAACAATTTTTCCATTTATATAGAAATAAAAAATCTTACTTTAACAGCTGTAACTTCTTATCTGTACACTCTTTGATTGCAGATTACTGATCCACGGTCCAACCCCAGTGGCTGCCTCCCTCCTCCTGAGTTAAGACCCATTTCACCACAGCCCTTACTGGTGTAGCCTTGTTTGGCTTTCTGGATGGGTATAATCCCATTCGCATCAGATGCCTCAGCAGGCTGCTTATGTTGTTTAATAACAAGGGTATATAAAGCTGATTTTTATAATAGATTAAATGAAGTTATTTATGGATCAACACTGGTGCAAAAGTCAACAGCTGGATTTTTCGAGGAAAAAATCACTATGGCATGTTTCAAATCTGGTAAATCTCTTAACTTCTGACTGTTTGCACTATTCTGGCAGTGTGATTTGCAATAAATACGGCCAGGAAATGTGACTACCATACCTATGCACCTGAAGGTATTCCCAGTTAGCTCTCCCACCTAAAACTGGTTTGGTTTTGTCTGAGGCTTCCAGCTGTCTGGATGCTGTAGTTCATCCAGAGAGCACTTTTGGGACAAATTAATTTGATTTCTGGAGCATCTCAGGGGGATATGGCATAAAAAAAGCATCTGTAGAGCTGCTGATGGATGGGAAAGCTGCAGTTGAGGGTTTGGACAGAAGATGGTGCAGTGTTCCAAGCTTCATCCTGCTGGAGTGGCAGCCTTCGCTCCCACACCTGGGCTTTAGGTTGGTCTCCAACAGGCAAACCTTGCACCAGTCAGCAACTTTATAATAACAGCATTGCAGTAACAAACTCACGCTTTGCTACAATTTGTGCAGCAGTGAATGAAGGTGGACTATGTATGCAATACATTTGTATATAAAAAAATACATCTCTCTATAAAATATCTCTATATATGCATTGATAAATAGTCACAAAATAGATTTTTTTTTCTTTCCCTGAGAATCCCTGTACTGACTCCGTTGCTCTGATGTTAACACAGGGATTAAAAGCCTTGCCCTGGCAGTGGATGTAAGCAAGCCCAAGGATGTGCAAAGGATGGTGGATGCAATCGTGGCTCGCTGGGGCACGGTTCACATCGCGTGCAACAACGCAGGAATCAATCTGAACTCTGCGAGTGAAGAGACTTCCCTAGAGGAATGGGACAAAACCTTTAATGTTAATTTGCGAGGATTATTTTTGTGCTGTCAAGTAAGTGTGAAATGCTGCACTGTTTGGTTTTGCAAATGGGTAATAATTTTTTAAGTGCTTACTTGATCAAGACTTAATAACACTTTATTACTAATTATCCTAATAAAATTGGTCCTAGTTTGGCTGGAGTTAAGGAGAGACTTGCAGATTTCAATTACAGATTTTGGTCAATATTTCCAAAAGCAGCTGGTACTTACTGGCTGCCCAAACCCCCAGGCATTTGAGAATGGCCAAAATTTTTTGAAGTCATTATTTGACACATCCTGAAAACCAAAAAGCTTTGTGGGGGCAGTCCCAAAATTAGTGATTATTTTGAAAAAATATTGCCAAGAGTGAAGAGGTGTGAAATGGCAAAGGCATTTTTCCTGTATCAGCCATTTTTATACTAAGTTTTTAGATCAAGTGCTTAAAAAAAATGTGTTAGCACATCAACTCTTCTGAAAAGTGAAGACTAATTTATTATCATGTCATTATTAGCACAATCACAGAAAGGGTCACTGGTCTTTCCTTTAATTTCTGTCACAGGCTGCAGGCCGCATTATGCTGAATCAAGGATATGGGAAGATAATTAACACAGCATCTATGGCAAGTTTAATAGGTGAGTGATGAGAGCTAACAGTTGTGCTTCAGAATCCATATTTTAATTACTACCGATGCTATTTGAATCAATTAAACCTGTATTGGGAAGGAGTAAATCACTGACATTTCGTATTAGAGGAAATGTACTACAAAATTTTTATTGATATCATTTTTCAACATTTATCTGTCCTCAATGTTTTAGAGCACTTATTACTTTTTATAGAAGAGGTGGAGTCACCTTCTGTGACTCCATTGCATGGATGGCATGGGAAAGGTGCTGGTAATCCTATCCATTGTTCCAGGCAAACTCCTTGGCGAGTGGGAAGCTGAGCCCCCGAGGTGTTTAAAAGCCACCCAAAAGATTTAGTGCCAGTTTTTGCCCCAGTACCCGCGAGTTTTATAACTTGCTCTTACCAACAGGTGCCTGCACCAGCGCTGCTGAATCAGCAGTGTCATCAAAAGCGCCAATAAACCATTGTAACATATGGAATGAAATCCCTACTGCTGAGCTAATCTGGAAGGCAGTTACACGCTGGTGAGCTGAAGCCCATGTAACAAAAATTGATCAATTACACGAATTAAGCATAGCCCTTTAGGAATTTATTTTATTGGTCTGGACATCTGTTGCAGTATTGTCCAAATCCAAAAATCAAATGGTGCCTTGGGTTGCCAAGTTAGGCAAGAAAATCTAGTAGCTATAAAACTACAACTGAAAACCCCTGTATTAATATCATGTCCATCTGCTGAATGTTACATAAGTATGCAGTCTTTATATTTTCCTTTGGAATAACGTTTATTTTTACTGTGCCCAGTTTGACATTCTATGACATTCTGCTCAGTTTATTGCACAGTAACTTTAAATGTTTCTTCAAAAATCCATTTACAATGTTGTTGTTAATATTTTTTCAAGTCTCTTTACCAGCTGTTTTACTTTTGCTTAAACGCAGGCACCATCCCTCTGCCCCAGCTTTGTAAAGTTACAAAATCTCACAAAGAAAGGTAGTTTTGAAAAGAATGTAGGGCTTTAAATTTCAAATACACCAGGCTTTCCTGCTCTGCACTCTGCAGTCAGGCTCTGGTCTGTGCTTGGCTGTCACCATCCACATCGCTATCACCAAGCAAAATTTCCTGGGAGGTATTCCACTCTGGAGAAAGATAGGCAGCTTTGGGAATTGGCAAAAACTGAGGATCTGTTGGTTTGGCACACTGCTCCCAGTCTCACTGCAGCCCAGCAATGGTCTGCACTGCTTAAGGAGAGGCTTTTTCCAACTTTTCTGTTGGGCCTTGGCACAGCTCTGCTGAGCTGGGAGGTGATGCCATTCCACCACTGCATCCATCCCAGCCCCACTTCGGGGCTGCACCTCCTTGGCTGGTGAGTCAAGCCCAGAGATTCACCTGGAGATCACATTTGAGGGAGTACTGGTCTGGAGCAGGAATGAATGTTGGAAGCAGCCCTGAGAGCAGCCTGGAAGGGTCATCCCAAGATGCATTTAAATGTCAGTAAAAGTCAATGTGTGCTAGGCCAAAAGTTAAGAGATGAAGAGATGTGTTTACCTTCTGAACCTGTTTGAATCTTGGCATTGAAAAAATCTAGTAGTTATGAAACTACAACTGAAAACCACGATGTTCATATCATGTCCATCTGCTGAATGTTAAATAAATATGTTGGTTGGTTGGTTATTTAAGTATGTTGGCCAACTGGCATAGTATGAAATGTTTCTAGAAATAGTTAGGGGATATTTTTTTTGTTGTTGTTGTAGGTTGAGTCCTTCCTCAGAGATACAGGAAAATGAGGAGATGCTTAGCAGGATAGGGAGGTTTTTGTTTGTGATTTTTCCAGATTCACTGCTCAGAATCAGTTTTAATTAATTGAAGATAAGCCGCATACATTTTGCATATGTGCATTTTGATTCTGGTATTTCACTGGAATTATTCCAGGCATAAGCTCCAGCAGTGGCAGCAAGGCTGCTGCGGCTCGGCGGTTCACACAGGTATAACTCAGAGCTGTGATTTTTACAGTGAATATCTTTGGTGGTAAGTGGTCTGCTCTGCTCTGTCTGTGTGCACCTCTCATTAGCATTATGTGGCTGCTTCAAGGTCAGCCTGGAAGCCTGAGGCACTGAACAAGGTTGTAAAACCAGAGCATCAGGTTGTTGTGGTTTACACCCCACAGCCCTTTGCTTGCTCCCCCCTGGGATGGGGGAGATAATCTGGGAAAAGTGTTAAAACCTGAGGGTTGAGATAAAGATGGTCTATTAGGACAGAAAAAGAAAGGAAAATAATAATAAGGATAAAAGAATACACAAAACAGGTGACGCACAATGCAGTTTCCCACTACCCACTGACCAATGCCCAGTCAGTCTCCCCAGCCAACTCCCCTTAATTCTATTGTTCAGCATGATACCATATGATCTGGAATATCCCTCTGGCCAGCTGGAGTCAGTCATCCTGGCTGTGTCCCCTCCTAGCTTCTTGTACCAGCCCCCAGCCTCCTCGCTGGCAGGGCAGCACAAGAACTGAAAAGGCCTTGATTTAGAGCAACAACTAAACCATCAGTGTATTATCAACATCATTCCCACTCTAAATCCAAAAATCTGTAGCAGCCACTGGGAAGAATATGAACTCTATTCCAGCCCAAACCAGGACACAGGTGTTTAAAACATAATGCAGCTGATGTTGGCAGAATTATATCTGGGTCCTCCTATCATCTGTCTTGAACAGGAGTGAGTGTCCTCACTTCCCAGAAGCCTTAATAATTCAGATTTTTTTGGTGACGCTGCTGGAGGCATAGCTTCATTCACAGGCTCTAGCCCTGTTTTGTATGAGTTTGAAGGGTTGCAGATTTGCTCTTCTGTCTGTAAGAGACCTGTAGGTAAGGGGAGAGGAGGTGGTGCAGGGTGCTGAGCTGCAGAAAACCCATCCAGTGCCAGAGCCTTGCAGCACCTGTTGGCTTCTTCTTCAGCTTTTCTAATAGAGAGGGGCCAAGTGTCTCAGAAGGGGGAGTTACCTTGCTTAGATATTCTTACAAAGACAAAAGCCTTTACAAGGAAGGACTCTTGAAAATCCTGTGTCGGCACCCACCCCATATCAGAAGCTGGTTCTCATAGCTTGCAGCAACTTGTTCTCACCCACATGCAGAGCTGGTGCCAGAACTCCCATCCTCTTAGCAAACACCAAATGATTTATCACAGAGAGACATGTTTGGAAAGTTCAGCAAAGAACTGCTTTTGGGAGGTTACAAGGCTAACTACCGAAGTTGTATGTAACTTGGAGCTGGAGCATGGCAATTAATCAAGAAATCACATTCCACATCTTTTTGAGAGCCCCCACATCGTGCTGTGTCGGGGGCAACAGGCACACACAGAGGGCAAAGCAGTTCTGCTGGTCAAAATGCAAAGTATTTCATATTGAACAAAAAAGGAACACAGAATAAATGCTGGCAGAGGAGGGCCATGGTGTGTAATGCTCTTTGTAGCAAGGAAAAGGCCTCTGAATTCTGAGCAAACCTTCAGCACATGCAGAAAAAACGAAATACTAATTATTGCTCCCATCACGTGTGCTTTAAATCTATTCACAAACATCTCTGTTCAAGGCAAAGGCCCTTGTTCACATGCTCAGTAATTTGCAGCAGAGCTTTATGCTCTTTCAGAGTTCACATAACTCAGTTATCATCTTCTTTCCACCCTTTACATTGACATATGCAAACCCAATAGTTTTAGTCAATAAAAGCAGCAGTGGGTGTGTTGGGATACCATAGGTGGGAGTGATCTAGAGCTGATGCATCAACTTAATTTATTAAGACCAATTTAATGCCATCTACCAGTGCTGCTTGTGTGCTTTTATGCTGTGAGTTGGGGTTTGCCTGAAGAACCTTACACAATCCCAATGATCACCTTTCTTCCAGGCTTCAGTGTTATCCAACCCCACAGGCTGGAATTGTCTGTCTTTGTGACTACTGATTTTTAGCCCTGATTTTCCCCACTCTCCCTCCATGAGAGTCAGCAACTCAGTGACTCTTAGCACTGATATGGAGCTAATTATGGATTGGTGCTTTGCACTGGATTTGTTTAATGAAGTCCTAATGGCAGCCAAAAAACTCCAAGGAGACACACTTTGTGAGTGTAAATCCCAACAGCTGGGCTGACTTGGTTTTGACTCCCATGGGTTTAAAGCACTTTACACCCACTGGGGATTTATCCTTAAGTAGCTTTCACGGAGCTGGTGAGGGGTAGAGCCAGCAAGCACACAGCACTAGCAACCTTGAACATTGTAATTAGCAAGCTGATCATTTTGTCTCTGACTGACATGTGACACCTCTGAAACATTTTCAAAAGCTTCAGATTTTGAAAGTGGTGGGTGTTCTGAATTTTTGGGATGCACCTGTGATCACATCCACACAAACACCAGTTAGATAATGTGATGTATTTGCTTCAGACTATGGATAATTTAAAAATTAGGGAGAATAATTTGTTCCGAGAGGCTATATATAATATGTTATATAAAATCTATTATGCACTTGTATCATATTATATCATATAATGTCATATCAAACAATTTAATATGTTGCATTACATTATGTCATACCACATAATGTACTATATATAAATAATAAATAATATTTATATATTATAACAGACAGAACACATAATATAGTATTAATCATATAATGTATTATTATTATATGATACTATATTAGTACTACAGTGCACAAGTATATAAACATATATATGTGTGTAATATATGAATGTGTATGATTATTGATCTTTCTTGGGAGCAGCCAAGTATTGCATATCTATGTTTAATACATTGGGTTTGGCTTTGCCCAAAAATGGGGCCTTTTATATTTCTTTCTTTATTTCTATTTTTGCCATTTTTTTTTCAGTAGTCCAACTGCTAAGGCACAAATTTTAGATGGCAAAATACATATTTAGAGTTTTGCGTTGTGAGTGGCTGAATTCTTGCTCTTCCCCACCTACCATCGGGGAAAAATGTCAAATAGTTCATCTCAATGCAGGCAATTGTCTGTGTAGCGCCTGAGCTGTCTTAATTCGGGAAGAATAAATAATTTTCTCTTTCTGAACCCCTCGCAGTCCCGCACCCACAGAAGCAGTTGGCGTACAACGTCTCCAAAGCCGGGGTCGTAAAATTAACACAGACGTTGGGAACCGAGTGGGTTGACAGAGGAGTAAAAGTCAACTGCATTTCCCCGTAAGTAAAACACAGCCTCATTCTGGAACTACAAAGGGAATGAAATGTTCCGCAAAGCTCATATGAACACTATCTCAGCAAATAAAGTTTCTAATTAGCAGGTGGATTGCATCCCTTTTTATGTTGTCTTTTCCTTAACAAAGGTTTAAATACTTAGAGCCAAGCCTGCTCTGTTGCTGTGTATACTCAGGGATTTAAGGAGAGGTTTTAGCATTTGATAATAGGTTTTCCAATAATGTGAAGGGTAGTTTTTAGCATTTCTCTTCTAGATGAAATATTTCCTTAGTCTGTCCAAGCCTTCTGTGGTTAAAGAAAAGGTTTTTGACACTTAATAGACAAAACTTCTTTCCCCTTTTCACTTGAGGCAAATATATAGGTGCTTTAAAAGCTACATTATATTGCTGTAATTGAGCTACTGTTCAACTCTGACAGTCACAGGAGGCCAGGTGTAGTTTTGTATATATGTATACGTTTATTACAAATTAAACTTTCCTTATTTTTAGAGACTTCAAGCTCTGGGTTTTATGGTATTTATTCACAAAGGAAAGTTTTCTTACTAGACATACTTCACATCTTTCTGTTTCTCACACACATACCCAACCCAGTCATTTTATTAAACAATTAACAGTGCATGATAGTGCTGAGCAGAAACCCAAGTGGGTAGCGTTAATTGGAAGCGGTCAAATTCCGTAGACCATTGAAGTCAATCAGAGTAAGTAGGAAGGGCAGGATTTTAACCCAGGAGTTAAATTGTAATAATGAAGATAATAATGTACATCAAATTAGGGAAAACAAATTACATATTTTAATCCACAAAGTGGAGTAAAAAAATAAAAGCACAGAGCTCAGTGGCAAGTGCCTCTGTTTTTACTGCCGGTCTGCTCTCCCCTAGCTTGTGCTAGCTGTCTTCCTTATGATTATTTATTACTAATTATACCAGTGACTCCAGCCATCACTCCATGTGATCCACAGATTCTTTCAACAGCATCTTACTTCCTAATGGGATTTTCCCCATGCCAGTCCTAGCAGCACTGTTATAGTGTTCCCACAACTAGTGCTAGTGAATTTACACTGGCTTTCGGGAGCCGGGGGAGATGAAGGGATTAGGGAAGCTCAGCAGGACCTGGCAGGAATTGTGTCTGAAAACACACAGGTAATCTGTACCAACAGAAGTGGGATAGTAGAGCCACATTCACAGCAATTACAGATGAGAAGGCTCTTAGAGGAGGAATTACCCATTTTGAGGGGGCTTACATAAATTAAAAATATAGACACCAAATATCAAAATACCTTGTTTTGTACAATTTGGGAGCATACAGTCATACTTGAAAAAGTTGTGTCTCTGGAGGCAGTTGTGAGAGCACGGAGAAAAAATAGTCATGTTTCTACTTTTCAAGCCAAAACAGGGTTGCATATTGATCATCCCTACCTGTCTTAAACTCTAGATCTGAGCTCAAAATCCTACTACAGGAAGGGATGTTTCTTTGTGGAGGAATAGCCAGGAAGGGCACACAGAGGACAAATGTTTTGCTGACTCTGAGGTCCCCTGTTCTGGACAGAACAGTTTCCCTGTTCCCTGCTGGGAACCTGGATTGATCCATCCCAGAGCTGGACAGTTTTCCTCCTGGTAATTCAAAGCTCTGGCTGAGCCCTTCATGACGGGGCTGTCCTGGGGAGCTCTGAGCAGCGTTCAGAGGAAGGAGCCTGTAGTGGTTCATAGAGCTCAGATACCTCATTGCCATAAGCAAGAGCCACATATACTTCAGAGTGAATAACTACTCATGTTTACCTTTCTGCCCATGTGAGATGTGAAACTGCATTTCAGTGCAGATTTGGACCCATTCCCAGAACTGTGGACCCCACCAGTGTCATTGTCTCTTGACGTGGCTCACCAAGACACAGGGACATCTTCAACCCACTTGATCTGAGTACCCAACTCTGGGCAGGAGCCACAGTACAACAGCACATGTGTCAATGCCATTGTAGTTGAAACATCTTCCAAAAGCACAGGTCTTGCTGAACATGGATGCCCAACCTAGCACATAGTCATCTTATAATGGAAGAGGATTTTGAGGAGTTTGAAGAGCACAGATGTAGATATAGGGCATGATGGTACCCCAAGATCATCTCTGGACAAGTAAAATATCTGTGTCCTTAAGTACTTTGTCCCTCCCACTCACGGTTGCATTAATGCTTCAAGGCACTCTGAGCGTGTCTCTGTCTGAAGGTCCAAATGCTCTAGCCTGGCCTTAGACATTATTTCACCATGCAAACCTTCTGGCCTTTTCCCCCTCTTCCTATCTGGTCACTTTTTATCAACTTAATTTCTTAATGAGTGCATAAAACTTATGCAGAGCAATGCATAAAAGTTAGCAATGCATAAAATGTTATGGCAGAGTTCTTAGGATGATTTATTGCATTTATAAAATTGAAGATTTAGACTTCCCTTGCCAGCCAAGCAAGCCTGGGGAGAAGGTGGCTGAGACTCCCTGGATGTTTTGGCTGACTTATCCTGTTGCTATCGTGGAAACTGTGTTCAGTCCTTCTGCCCATCCAGTGGCATTGCCTGTAACCTGTTAAAGAGCTGATGCCAACAAAATTAATAAGGTGCTGGAGTCTTTCTGGAAGGGATGTGAGGGTCAGGTTGCAGAGGGAACATGGCTGTGAATAGGGACCTTTACGGAGCACTGACTGGTGGCTGTTGCTCATCTGCCCCCACGTGTTTTAGTCTCCCAGCACATGTGAAGTGTGTTGAGTGTGATGGAGGAGGGGACTTTGGAGGGTGTCTGGTTTTTGGCATGTGCAGCATTGGAACACTTCATTTTTCAGCCATTACACTGAATCAGTGTCTATTTTTTGTGGGTAATTGCTACTTCTTTCTTGATTTGCAAGACATAAAATGCCATAATGTGATGACCTTCCAGATGGGCAGCTGGAAGTTGATCTTGAGGTCAACTTGCAGCCAGGCCAGCTTGTTGGAGACCCAGTGAAACTCAGCAGACCTGAGGGATGAGCCATGTTTCCCACTGATAGGCTGCAGGGATTTGGGTTGGAGGTACCATGGACAAAGAGGGTTTGTGTGCCCTGTGTCTTGCCCTGCTCCTCTGGGGCAGCATGAAGACAGCTGCGTGGTGCTGTAGCAGGCTTGTAGCATGGTGGGTACGAGCAGTCAGAGAGCAGGTAGGGCAGGATCACCGCAGGTTTTGGGTACACACCATCAGAGGGGACAGAGAGGCAGAGCTGGCAGGAGAAGGAGCACCCCAGCATCACCTGAAGGCATCCCAATTAAGCAGCATTACTATCCCCATTAAGCAGCAGTCGTTGCTGGTAAGTATCTTTGGACTTAAATCTTAATTCCTTGGGAGATGTCCCAATTAAGTGGATCTTGTGATTAAACACTTCCTGATTAAGTGGAGTGTACTTAACTCATTCAAATTAATAACTCATCTGAAAGAAATCAAGTTACACACAGATGGAATCTTTTTTTGCTCTCATTTGGGGATTGAGTGCACGTAACAATTCCAGTTAAGTATCTGGTAAGTGATATTTTTCCTAATGTGTCTCTCGAAGTGGAAATGTTTTAGGCAATTGTTTTTTTTTTTGACAGTCTTTTTTTTTTCCTAATGTCTCAAATTGTCCTGTGTATCAATAATGAAATATCGATGCTCATATCTAATGTTAAGGAACCAGCAGTTTGATATTACATTGACGTGCAACAGAAAGTACTGATAGGCTCAGCACTGCATACGAGATGAGGTAGGGAATTAATGCATTGGCAGTTGTCTTTGCTGGAACTGGTTAGAAGCCAACTAAAATCTGCCTAAAAGGGTTCGACAACATTAAATTGCCCAACTTGGCACCAAAGCTTTCCCAGAAGATGTGTAGTATCAATGACATGCCTAATATTTATAGTGCCATCAGTATGTGTGTTTGCAACTTTTAAGTTTTGCGCTATATTTTTTTCTCATTTCTATAATAAAAATTTGTAGTGAAGTTTGGTTACACATCTAAATTTTTGCTTCTTGAAGTGAACATAAAGAAAGGTCCAGCGACAGCCACAATGCAGCAATTCACAGGCTGCAGCGATCAGATCAAAGATCATTTTTCTGAACAGATTGAAAAATGTCCTCTTTTTAGCAAAATCTGTTGTGCTGGAGGACTGTGTGTCTTACTCCCTAATCTGCATTCCCTTGGGGTTAAAATATATCTGTAAATGGAAAAAAACCCAACAAAATCATATGGATCTTATTCTGGTCTCTGATACTGTAAAGCCAGAACGATGATGATGGGGATGGTTTTGTAAGCACAGTGAGAGGCACGTATGGAAAAGGAGTCCAATATATTTCATGTCTGCTGCTCAAAGCACGTTTCTCTCTGAAGAAAACCAGTTCTCGAGGAGTTTGGAAAAGCAAGGAGGGAGAGCAGGAGGCTGTGCTTGAAGGAATTAAGTCCACAGTTCTATACTGGAATGTGCTTGGTTTTGTTACGTTACCAGAACTTAAACAAGCTGCATTGCTCACTGTTTCTGAACTGTTCTGCTCTTTATTGACAATTACAACAAAAAATGAAGCTGATATTTAAATCCTGCCTGATTAGTGCAAACAGAAATGTTTGGGGGAAAATCTGAATTAGTTCCACTTCGTAACAGAGTAAATAGAAGATTTCAGCCTTCATTTAAAACAAAAGGTAGATCTCATACCCAGAATCCAGTCTGACTCAAAAAATTATTTCCTTGGAAGTCTAAATTGGGATGCCAATGAAGTTTCAGAACAAAACGAGTATTTTTATACTTTGTTCATTTCATATTTATCACTAGCTTGTTTGCTAATTTTCATTTGCAAGAGGCAATTCTTCCAGCTAACTGGCTGCCTCAATGGGCCACTGATTTCTTTGAAGTGACAGTCTGTAAATATGCATAAAAAAGAGATGCAATTAGCGTGTGTGTGGTTCAGTGCAGCCTGATTTCATTGGCAAGTTTACCCACAGTGTTGATAAGCTACATTATCTAGAAAATTGGCCGCTGAAAAACAGCACCTCTGATTGCCAGCAAAGGTTCCAGATAACAGGGTGCTGAAGAGAAATATAATTGAGGTTGAATATGTTAACCAAGGTGTCACATGCTCCTTAGAAGCGCTAATTTATCAGCATGTTGGAATTTTTATTAACATTTGGAATGCATTTCTACCACGCTAATGAAGTGGAATTGGCAGTTCAGGTTTTAGTTATTGTCATTTCTGAGAAGTTAAATGTAATTTCTCGTTAGACACAGTTATGTAAATATATTTGTTCAGGGGCTGAAAAAATTATACATTTCGCAAAATACAAATATGTTGTTAAGGAGGAGTATGACAAATCAGTCGCAGTTAAAGTCAGAAAAGCCAGCCAAATGTTTGCCCTGCGTTGTGCTTCCTGCAGCATCACTCATTTTTAGGGCACCTGAAAAAAAATGAACTTAGCAGAGTTTTAATATGTGGTGGAGTCACTCATTGATGTAAAAGAGGCAAAACAGGTAAATCAATGTGATTTGTTGGGGTGTTGGTTTAAGGGGGAATCGCACTGGTTGTGCTGTGCTTATCCCTGCCTCTCCTTCTTTGTGTGGAGAGGGTCTGGTGCCCGGAAGGGTGCTGGCTTTTGTTTCCCTCATTTTTTGACATATGAGAAGTTGGTCTGTTTTCAGTTTCTGGGCTGTACACAAACGCTGTGTGGCATTATGCTGCGGAGTGATGAGATGAGAAGAGAAATTGGTAGAGGGATGACAGTTCCCAAGAGCCACGACAGACCCGACTCAAGATGCTTTCCGTTCCAATGCCATGCTTGTTTTCTAGAAAAAAAAATTAAACTGGTGACCTTCAAGTAAGGGGCTTCTGCTATTAGCTAAGCAGATAGTAGCTGTGCACTTACTTTAAAGGAAACCTTTAAGCTGCCGGTCAGCAGTGAAAGGCAACGATAGGAAAGTTTGCATCATGACTTCCAGCAGAGGCAGAGCAGGTCTGATGTGCTCATCTTATCTCCTTTGTGTTATTCCACGGTTTTGCCTTCTGAATTAACATCTCAAACACCTATAAGTGCTGCCTTTTCTTCTTTCTAAACTCTTGGTGTGTGTGCTCCTTGCAGGGGCATCGTGGACACTCCACTCATCCGCTCCAAGGAGCTGCAGCCGCTGGTGCAGCGCTGGATGGGTGACATTCCCGCCGGGAGGCTGGCTCAGCCCACCGACCTGCAGGCTGCCGTCGTCTACCTCGCCTCTGAAGCCTCTGACTACATGACAGGCCACAATCTGGTCATCGAGGGCGGACAGAGCCTGTGGTGAGGGGCATCCTCCAACCTCCCCTCTCAGAGACACACAGGTCACTTTGGAAAGTGCATATTAGAGTTTAGCTTAGTCCCAGCTTTGGCTTGTGTGACTAAGTAGCCAGCTAATATGAAATTACTGTTTTCTTCTTTTGGGTGTTAATTTGGAGACTTGTATAATGCAGAGGGAAAAAAAGGCAATCTTTCAGTTCCAACATTTTCATGTTTTTCACTATGCAGTCACATTTCTGTTAAATTAGTATTTAATGATATAAAGGCACATTTACTGCAGTGAGATTTGGCTATTATTTAGTTTAACAGGGGGCATTTTTAAAGCAATCAATATTAACTGGTCTGTGTAGTTTATTGTTCTTAGGCAATTTTTTTTGTATTCAAGTTGTTCCAGTGACATCTGTGCGTGGTGAAAAACAGTTGGATGTAGTGTTAAAAAAAATAAATTAGTTCATTACATTTGAACCTGAACATTGCCATTTTATATTTACTGGTGTTCTTTAGTTTTTGACAGTGTTTTTATACAAACACCCACATAAATGCCCCTGAAAGAGCCGTACTGCTCTTAATAGAGAATCACGGTGGTAATTATAATGGCTGTAATTCAAAGCCCATTGAGGTAAGTGGGGACTGCTCATATACTTTAAGTTAAACGCATGTTTAAGTGTTAATACAACTGGGTCTTTGTTTTCCTTGATAGGCAGATGTAAGCGAAGGTTGTCTCCCATATAATTTTTTTCCTCCTGTAAAATTCTGAGGACAACTCTTGGGCGTAAATCAAGGCCAGCTCAAATGATATTGATACAGTTGTGTTGGCTGAAGACCTCATTTTGGTGATAGTGTTGGGTTCATTGCTTATAGGCAATAAAATGTGGCACAACAACCCCACTGTTTTGATATCACTCTGGATATACACAGAGTTCCATCCTGAGGGCCCTAAAGCATAACCTAAGGAGAATTTACGGGAAGAAATTCGCTTGCAAATCCTCGTGTCATTTGTTTTGCATTTGGCAGCTCTTTGTTACCATAACATAAATAATTGTGGATGGATGTCATTACTTTGATTAAGTGCTACGAGCCCATGCATTGGCTGGCCATTATTGTGGTGAATTGCTGTAATGGCTTCAGACTTGACATTCACTGCCACGTTCTAAGGTATGCGCCTCGCTGACGTACTATCATCGTTATCGTGGATAAAGTGCAATAAGATACTTGTCTTCATTAAATTTTCTATTAGACCATTGATAATTAATACATATCTCATGTTTCATCTTGAGTAATTTTTTCTGGGGAATGTTGCTGTTAAGCGACTCAGGGCTAGAGCTTTTTGGCTTGAAATCCTTGCCTTGTGTGCATGATCTAATTTATTGACAATGCTCTGCAAACTCACAGGCTTAAGGAGAGCTCGATTTTGGATAAATCTTCAAGAAAAACAATTAAGGATTTAAACATTTTATTTTTTCTGGGCTCACAAAACCTTTTCTCTCCTAGCTCCCACACTTGCATCATTTTGTGTCATGCTCTGGAGGGCTCGGTGGAGTTCTCACATCTCTCTGGCTGGCTTTTCACCCAGAGGTTAATGTGCAAACATTGGTGAACTCATCAGGAGCTCTTCCAAGGGATCCTAGAGGGGCTTGTATACTATTGCTTGGACTGCTGGTGAACAGTTTGTTGCAACTCCTACCTAAAGTGTAAAATAACGAACTTTAGTTAATTTGAAACACTATCTGCAGTTGGCACTGGAACTGTGACCGGTGTTTTCACTTTCTCAGTAGAAAGACAAAGGGCTCAACAGACTGCTGGGGCTGAACAGACTACTGAGGCTGAATTCCCATTCCCTGTCTGGAGATGGTTGCAGTTCAGCACCAAAAGGCACTGGCAGGGCATTGGAGGAAGCTGAAGTTCATTGCTCTGGTGCCAACTGGTTTTGAGAAGAATCCTTTTAGCCAGCAAGGGTCATGCTGTGACTTTCACAAGCTTCAAGTTAAAAACAAAACCCAGACAGAAAAAAACCACCTAGACTTAAAAAACCCAACCTCATATATCAAAATTATCTCCCAAGTAAGCAGCCTCTGGTGTTTGGACTAGAGTTTGTCTCACCCCATTCTGTTTGCCCTGAGGCTCTGCCTTTGAAGGGCTGAGCGGGCAGAGCAGAGGAGTGAGTTTACCTGCACAGGCTGATGTGTTTGAAGACATTGCCATGTGCCCACGTGGGTCCTGGCTCTGCCCCATGCTGGCCCAGAGAGGCTGATGGAAGGGGCCATCTCTCCCTTCATTACACAGGAGGGACTCGGGACTAAGCAGCCCAAGGGAATAGAGCACTTGCTGCCAAGTCCCTGGGATGATGGGCCGATACCCCTCAGCACTTTTGGCTTTCATGGCATCCTCACTTCGGCCAAAGAAACAGATCCTGGAGGAGAGCAGATGTCAGGAGGGAAGTGTCTCTCCCCCTGCATGTGTAAGCTGGCCTGTCTCCTCCTAAGGACACACTTTCATCTCTCTCCTCCATACTCCTGTTGAATCATAAAAGGGTTTGTGTTAGAAGGGACCTTAAAGATAATCTAGTTCTAACCTCCCTGCTGTACTTTCCCCCACACCAGGTTACTCAGAGCCCCATCCATCCTGGGCTTGAACCCAGGGCTTCATCCATCTGGGAGCTTCAGCAATGGCACTGTGGCTTTTCATGGTCTCAAATGTAATTTCCCGAGGGAAATGACTGATTTCCACTCAAGGGCAGGGCTGTGCCCGTGCACTGGTGCTTCTGTCTGATGAGGACCAAACTTGGCATTTGGGTTGGGATCTTTGAGGTGGCTACTCCCTGGGTGTGGGGGTCCCTGTATGCTGCCTTGAGCTGAGAGTGAGTCTCATTGCTACAGCCATGGAGTCTCTTCTGGAGACACCACCCTAAAGCAAGTGGAAGACACAATTTCCATTTATGAGGGAAAAGCAATGCTCACAGATTTGTGTATATCAGTGTGTGTAAGTATTTGAAGGGAGTGTACCAGAGGATGGAGCCAGGCTCTTCTTGATGGTGCCAAGCAATAGGACAAGAGGCAATGGACAGTAACTGTTGCACAGAAAGTTCCACCTGAACATGGGGAAGAACTTCTAACCTTTACAGTGACCAAGCACTGGAACAGAGACCAGAGAGGGTGTGGAGTCTCTCTCACTGGGGATATTCCAGAACCATCTGGATACAATTCTGTGCCATGTGCTCTGGAGTGACCCTGCTGTAGCAGGGAGCTTAGACCAGAAGATAGACTGTGGTCCCTTCCAACCAGAGCCACTCTGTGATTCTGTGAAGCAGGATGTGAGAAAAGCCTTTTCCCCTCTTAGCACTGAAGACCTGAGAAAAGGAAATATTCGGGGGGAAAGAAAAAAGGGAAATATTTGTGGGGGAGAAAAAAAAAAAAAAAGGAAATATTTGGGGGGGAAAAAGCAGCTTTCTGGGGAATGCGGGTGAAGCTGCGAAGTGGCAGCATCTGTGTTGAGCGAGGTCGTTCAGGGCAGCATCGTGCGCTCGGCCCTGGCGGAGCGGGGGGATGCGGTGTGATGCCGTGCGGGCGGAGGCGCCGTTCCCGGCGGTACCTCTAGGAGGAAACCTCAACCTGTGTTGTGTCTGCGGGAGACGGGCTTCCCGGCTCTGCTATTCAACTTTTATATTGCAGCTAAGTTAGTACTTTTGATATTTCTAAGTTTTTTTTTTTTTTAACATTTATGTAGAACACCACATAATTGCAGAAAAGATAATAGTCACATACCCTAGGGCTTGGTGTACACTTATGTTAAAAGTACAGCTTTTATTGGCAACTAAAGTAATAACCTTTCCATGTCAAATTGCTTTAAATTAAACTTAAAAAAAAAATGCTGGCTGATACCCACACTTAGTAATTGTCAAACATTAGCATAATGTGGAATACTAAAGCTGCTTAAATCTTGGGTTTAAAAATAATTATTTACTTAGGTAAATTCTCTGTTCAAAAGCATAATATTAGATTTTTTTTTTGACACAGTCTCCTCAATGTATACGTTAAAATGCAGACCTGAGCTTGACATGGAAGTAGGGCTGAATGTTGCTGTGGCCTCTGAGAGAAAAAGGGAGACTTTATACCTTTAGCTCATCCTTCCATCATTGGTCACCCTGAAATAAATGTTTTAGGGTGACACCTCTGAAGGCAGAGGTGCTGTGGGTGACATCTGGTGCCCCAAGCGCAGTGACCTGCAGTACTTGCTGATTGTACCCTGTCCTGCAGCCCTGGAGTGCACACATAATGTTTCTTGTGTTGGAAGACATCTGGGAGACGGGTGTCTCAGGTATGTGGGTGTGCAAGGCCAAGGGCGGCTGGTCAGTGAAGTGTTTCATACAGGTACATTTTACATTTCTGTTTCAGCACAGAACTGGAGCACATGTGGTGGGAACCACTTAAATTTCCAGGGTAAAGCAGGAGAGAAAATAATACACTGTGAGATGGGGCTCTCAGGGCTCGCTGCTGCACGTGAAGGAAAGTGGACTTACTAGATGCTGTGAGGACACAAGTCCTCATGGTTTTCTGCTTTTAGGGAGGCCCAAGCTCTGACATGCCCAGCTTGAGGACTTCATCCCCTTGCTAGGACTTCCCTGTTAAGTCCACCATGGCACTGAGTCTACCAGTGCTTCCTCAGAAACATGCCAGTACTTTATTGGAAGTTCAGCAAAACCTATTTTGGGACATTTTCTTCAAGAAATTAGCAGTGCCCTTATTAGGGCAAAAGGTATTTTGTCAAATTCCTGCACCTTTGGAGAGCAAAGTTAGAAAGGGACTGGCTTTCTCTCTCCTTTAGGAAGCAAGAAGATCTGGGAGGCTCTTGTTGCATTTCCAGCAACTTTCTGGAGGAAAAAAGTGGAATGGTAGCACCTGGTAACAAGAAAGTTATGAACTTCAAGAGTGAGAGTTTAACAGTTGTTGGAAGGGGAAACACAAGGAGCTGAGGAAAACTGTGATTTTCCCAACCTGCCTAATATCATTTGCGTTTTATACTGTTTAAACTGTAATTACGGATCTGATTATATATTAATTTCCACACTATTTCAATTCTTTACAGCAGGGAAGTAAAGTAGATGCTCTTCCTTGGAGAGCCCCAGTTCAGTCCTACAGAATATACCTTCTCACCAAAACAGGTTGGAATTCTTCAAACAGCAGTGAGTGTTTGCTGATGGATTCTCACCTACCTGCTGTCTTTTCTCCATTCAGCACCTCTTTCCTCTTTCTCTAGCGCTCTCCTTTCCCCACCTGTCCTACCTGACCCCTTTCCCCTGCTCTGCTGCCAGCACTGCTGCTGTCGCCCGATTGTACCAAGCAAACGAAGAAGACTGGAGAGGGACCAAGCAGAGTGCAGGTTACCCAGAAATACCTCTCAATGCCAAGGCCTGGAT